TTGATGGTGCATTATAAGATTTAACAGTGGGACATTTATGACTGAAATTAACAAACTAAAATGAGTTATCGTTCATGACAATGAGGTTCAGTATATATGGAAAGTATTCGGATCCCTTTAAAGTTTTCACTCTTTCACTCTTTTTTTTATTGCAGATATTTATTAAAATCAAAAATGTTCATATTATTTTTCATGAATATAGACTCAGCATCCCATCTTGACAGGAAAAAACAAGAAATGTAGAAATTTGCAGGATCAATTCTTTGCAAATTTGAGCAAAGGATCAGATTTAACAGGCCGCAGTATGTCAGGCTGAAGGACACCGTGTCTGACACTGTGGTCAGCAGCACAGGAGCCCCTCAGGGCACAGTGCTGGCCCCTCTTCTCTTCACCCTGTACTCCTCTGACTTCCACTACAACTCGGAGCTGTGTCACATACAGAAGTATGCCGATGACACAGCCATAGTCGGATGTATCAGGGACGACGGAGAGGAGGAATATCGCTGTCTGGTGAGGGACTTTGCTCTCTGGTGCCACACAAACCACCTGGAACTCAACACCTCTAGGACGAAGGAGCTGGTTATAGACTTTGGGAGGTCCAGACCAAAGCCGAGACCAGTCGTACTAGAGGGAACTGAGGTTGAGGTCGTGGGCTCCTACAAGTACCTCGGGCTGTGGCTGGACAGTAAACTGGATTGGTCAAAACACACCAGCCACCTGTATGGGAAGGTGCAGAGCAGGATGTACTTCCTGAGGAGACTGCGGTCCTTTAACATCTGCAGCAAACTGCTGTGGATGTTCTACCAGTCAGTGATCGCCAGTGTCCTCTTCTACACTGTGGTGTGCTGGGGAGGCAGCACATCCAAGAAGGACACGTCCAGACTGGACAAACTGATCGGCTCTGTGGTCGGCATGAAGCTGGACTCTCTGGTGACGGTGGCAGAGGCGAGGACACTGAACAAACTGCTGGACATCATGGACGATAGCAGCCACCCTCTACACGCCGTCATCAGCAGCCAGAGGAGCCTGTTCAGTGACAGACTGCTGCTTCCCAAGTGCCGGACCAATAGATTCAAGAACTCCTTTGCCCCCCACGCCTTCAGACTGTACAACTCCTCACTGGGGGGTTGGAGGTGACACAGGACAGAGGGAAGAAGGAGTAGTTTTTCTACAAATGTGAACTCCATATTTATCAGGCCAAACCATACAGTGCAATACCATATCACTGGTCAATCTATCCACCAAATTGCTATAATTTCCTTTTGTGTTGTATTTATTCTTTGTTTTGTATTTAATTTGTATTTTTTTGTATTCTTTTGTGTATGCTTACTGTGTGCCACATTTTTGCCTGTGAGCTGCTGGTAACTATAATTTCCTGAGGGAGTCTTCCCAAGGGATCAGTAAAGTCAAGTCTAAGTCTCTAAGTCTACTGACCTTCAGTCAATACTGACCCTGAGTATTGAGGGTCAGTATTGAATAGAAGCCCCCTTTAGAGCTGTACCTTTAGAGCTGGTACAGCCATGAGTTTTCTTGGGAATGATGTAACAAGTTTTTCACACCTGGATTTGGAGATCCTCTCCAGTTCTGTCAGGTTGGATGGTGAACGTTGGTGGAGCCATTTTCAGGTCTCTCCAGAGATGCTTAATTGGATTTAGATCAGGGATCTGGCTGGGCCAGTCAAGAATGGTCACAGAGTTGTTCCAAAGCCACTCCTTTGCTATTTTAGCTGTGTGCGTCAGGTCATTATCTTGTTGGAAGGTGAACCTTCGGCCCAGTCTGAGGTCCTGAGCACTTTGGAAGAGGTTTTCTTCCAGGATCTCTCTGTACTTTGCCGCATTCATCTTTCCTTCAAGTGAAACCAATCGTCCTCTCCCTGCAGGTGAGAAACATCCAGAAAGCATTATGCTGCCACCACCATGTTTCACTGTTGGGTTTGTATTGGACAGGTGCTGACCCTGGTATGTGTGGTTTTGTCCACACATAAAAACCGCATGCATGGAGAAAACCACACATACCACTTAAAGTTAGTACCAAAGAAAAATCCAATCTTCGTCTTGTCAGGCCAGAGAATTTTACTTCTCATAGTCTGGGAAACTTTTATGTATTTTTTGGAAAATTATGCAGGATTTTATATGTCTTGCATTGAGGAGAAGCTTCTGTCGGGCCACTCTGCTATAAAGCCCCGACTGGTGGAGGACTGCAGTGATGGATGACTTTGTGGACCTTTTATCCCATCTCCATCTCTGGAGCTCAGCTGCAATGACCTTTGGGCTTTCATCCCATGGTTGCTCAGTTAACTGGGCAGCTAAGACTAGGAAGAGTTCAGGATTCCTCAAACTTCCTTTCATTTAAGAACTATGGAAGCCACTGTGCTCTTATGAACCTTGACTGCTGCAGAAATAATTTTGTAACCTTGGCCTGATCTGTGCCTTGCCACAATTCTGTCTCTGCGTTCCTTGGGCTTCCACCTCGTGATTCTTATTTGCTCTGACATAAACTGTGAGCTGTGAGGTCTTAAATAGACAGGTGTGTGCCTTTTCTAATCAAGTCCAATAAGTTTAATTAAGCACAACTTCTTCATTGGTTTCTCTTTCTTTTGACTTTTTAGTGTTACTGCTACTGGTGTATATCAGAAATCTTTCCATTCTGACCAATTTCTTCCTGATAGGTTATTTTTTTATTAACCCTTCTGTGTATCACTGTTCCTGCTATAAGCCCTGCATTATAAAATGACAGATGTAAATCTCTGGATTGTGCAATCGTATTTGCACAGCTCATTGTGCCTAAACTTTTAAAGTTGTGCAAGCAGTCATCAGCTGTTTTTTTGCGGTTCTGAGTTATTTGGTCAAATTTCTGTCCTCTGATGGGGAGTTTTGCAAGGTCATTTGATTCTTTGTTTCTTTTTCCCATTAACTTGTAGAAAGCTTAAGAACATGGTCACCTGAATCTTTGTTGCATGTAAAATGTTATTCTTCCTTTAACAGCAAAGCTTTTGTAGTTTTTCATTTAACAATCATTACTTTATTATCATATCCATTAGAGGTACATTGTCTAAAATACTGACTGAAGTGTGGCGGTAGGATAACAGTTCAACATTTAGTCAGTAAGATTTGCAATCATTCTGCAGACAGTTGTCATGGATGCAATGTGTTTCACTAGAACTATTTCCAATGTCTGTTACTATTATTTATTATATTTATTTATTTTATTCTAACTCTGTTTTGAGAGCCATGTCAGTTAACAGTTTGGTATTCCATGTTTTACTGAAGATGACTTTGACATGTAGACATGGAGCTGACCAGAGAACCTGTGAGTGACAACTGTCTCTTCTTTAGATCTTGACATATTATCTATATTAAGTTAAATATGTCAGGACAGAGGCAGGCCTCATGACAGATCAAAGTGATCAATTATCAAATTGAACAAAGTCTTGACAATTGCCAGTGATAATGAAAAGATCAGCAAAATACAAATTCTTATTCTTCATTTACACATTTTATCTGATAATGTCTCCATAGGTGGATTTATACATTTAAAAATGCACAGATGTGGGACCATAAATGCAAAACATGATTGGTCCTTCCTTCCAAAATACTCACTCCTGTGAATGAGAAAGATTCATACTGACCTGATGTTTCCTGTCAAATATTTAAACACAACATTTAAACACAACTAGACAAATGATAAGAACTAAGTTTTGCTCATAATTGAAATACTTTAGCCTGTACCTTAAGTTAACCTTTCACAATGTAGTGATTTAATTCAATGTTTGCCTGTTCCACATCAAAATCAAATTGCTCACCTCACAAAATATTTGTACTTTATGGCAAATTAAAAAAAAAACAATCACCATAAAATGAAGCACAAATTTACAGATGGACTGAATTTAATATCCCTTTTCTTAAAGCTGTTCTGATCCATCAACATGCTGTGAAGAATTATGATACATTTGAAAACATTTTCGGTCAATTATCAAAATAATTTTTATTGATATATCATAGTTATTTTGTGCCATTTCAATTTGATGCAGATGGAATACAAAAGACAACATGAAGCACAAATTAAATTTACATTGTTCTGTGATCACAAGTATCTGAGACTATCTACACATCTTCACGTAACACTGACTTCACTGAGTTTCTCTACAACCGTTCTCAGGGTGTTTCCCCCTTCACATGCGGGGAGCAAGGGCTTCCTACAATACACCAAAGTATTTCCAAATATAGAACGTACTCGTTGACTGTGTGTGTGAAGGGGGAAACACCCTTCACACACACATACACACACACTCACACACACACACACATATGCCCACACACACACACACACAACTTGTATACTGTACACATAACATACAAGTTGAAAGGTATTTTTTTTTCAATATCCGTATGATAAACAGTGGTAATTAAACTGTTATTGCATCATTTGGAGGAACTTTTTGGATCTCTGAATTAAAGGAAGGCTCTATACTAGATGTGTCACAGCCTTACATTAAGGTCTGTCTATTTCAAACTTTGGGGAAGTGACATATTTCTCTCTGAGTAGAACATCAGAAAGATTTCATTTTTACCACTGTAACAGAATTTATGCAGACACAAAGTTTTTGTGATCAACACCTGTTGATGACAATGTGAGTGTGTGTGTGTGTGTGTGCCTGTGTGTGTGTGTGTGTGTGTGTGTGTGTGTGTGTGTGTGTGTGTGTGTGTGTGTGTGTGTGTGCGTAAGAAAAAGAGTAAGTGTTAGATTCTGCTAATTGTGTGTCTGTTTTGTGGTGTAAAATGGTTACAACACAGGTCTGTGTGTGTGGTTTAGGTATAACTCAGTCAGAGGTTTGTGTAGGCGTGTTCTGGTCCACATGAGCCTCCCAGGTTCTGTGTCTCTTCCTTATCAGCTCTCCACTTATTCACAATGAGTGACATCACTGGAGTTTCCACCAAAAAAAGCTTTTAAAAGACAGTCTCACAATGTCAGTTGAGAAGAAAAAGAGGAGTCCTCTTACTATACATTGACTGTTTGACTTGGATTGAAAGCAAGAACTTACTCAGAACAATGGAGACTGAATGCAAGGTATCACTGGATGCAGATGCCAGCACAGGGACAAGTGATCAGACATCCACGAGAGTCAAAACATTTCCAGTGTCCAGACTGACCTTGGCCCTGATGGCTTTCACTCTCTGCCTTGCTGCTGCTGGTGCTGTTTTGCTCTTCTCTAATGCTCGTGTCAAGGTGAGTGTTGTCTTCAAAAAGGGACAGAGGCCTGCAACTAATAGTTACATCATCTGATCCCACCAACACTAACAGTGTCTCTTTCTCTGTCCTCTGACATAGAGTGCAGGATCAGACGAGGGAAGCTCTGGTGAGTAGTTCTCCTTAATTCTTTGACACATTGAACAATTATAAAGTTGTACTTAATAGCAGCATCTATTGTCTAATCTATGTTTTACAAGTAAATATTATATACCTTTACTTCTATGCATTATTTTGTTACGTAGAGATTTGTTCCTTAAAGAGATAATGTCCCAGAAAAATGCTATTTTGCATCCAGAAGAGGGTTGACATTTTTTCCTCTGATTTGACAGCTTTTCATCACACCTTAAGGCAAATTTCAAATGTGAGAGCAGCCATTCATCTAGAAGGTAAGAACCAGCCACCTGCAGGTGGTCTTGGGGCTGGAGAGGGCTTGATCCCCTGCCACTTTTACTCTTGATGCCCTAAGTGCCCTTCTTCAGTTTTATTGCTTTATTTTTGTTTTCTTTTCAATAATGTATTTATGTTTTATTGCATTTTTTATTGGGACAATAGTATTTAGTTAAACATAGCAATTTAGCAATAATAAATTACTCTGGCTGCCCTTTGTCTAATAATGACTCTGAATGGATTCTCAGCTCCTCTGCCTCCATGTCGTTATGACACCAGGCCAGGATGAGTGAGGGGAGCTGTGCCCTCTCTCAGATTATGGGCAAGAATATTTTTTTTCAACATACACTTGTTTGTAAATAAAAACAAACTGATGTTGAAGTTTTTATTTATTTTCACAATTATTCTCACAGTAGCGGGATAAAATCATCCTCACCTTAAACACAGAGATGGTTCAGCTTCAGCGAAAACTTCTGATTTAATTTATCATTCTGATCCTCTGCTGGACCAAATGCCCGTTTCGCTCCAGGCAGCCTGAGTCAGTCTCACTGTTGTGCGTCAGAATCAGATATTCTGATATAAAGAAACAGTAACATGGCTGTCACCACGAATCCGACGCACCTTTTAGTTCTCTGCTTCACTTCAATCTAACATTACTACAAGGCGGGTTTGCAGTTTGCACTGCTGTTGAGAATTCAGAAAAAATATACCCATGAAGCCCAGGCAACCTAAACAGTCTCTATGGCGCTTATTATGAACTGAACAGTCAGTAAACAGAAAAGTCTCGTCTGACGGTCTGTCCCAGCTCCTGCCTTATCGATGAACTCTCCATTGAGTTCATCTATAACTCATCCAGCAGAGAGATGTGCAGCGCAGTGGAGGAGCGAGAGCTGCTGATTTACTGTGATGTATTTGTGAACAAATTGAGCTCAAATAGAAAGATTAAAGATAGCATCAGATTGTAGCTATGCTAACACATCAATCAATCTATCAATATGATTTTTTTGTACTTAGGGTTAGACAAAGTAAACTTCCTAATTAATTCCTAAATGTTCTTTTTTTTCTCTGCCAAAATCATTAAATAAAAATGAATAGCATTGTCAATCTCAACAAACATGCTAAAGTTTTAGATCTATGGTCTGTGTTACAATTCAAGCATTTATAGGATCTCTAGACTGTAAGTAGACCTTTGATAGATTTTTTAGGTAGAACTATGAAGACACTGTTACAGTAATCAGCTAAACTTAAATGCATGGATGTTTCTCCAGATCTTGTTGAAAGACAAAATCTAATGACAATAATTTCTCTCAACCTTACAATTCTAGATCTCAGAGATGCTTATATAGAAAATTATGTAGAGTTGACCCCTCTGAGCTTTTCTGTTCTTTAAAGCAGCCTGCAGCAAAGTTGCAATAAAGATTAAACAGTCAGACATTATTAGGGATTATTAAACAAAAATAGCTCCAAATTTGCTGGTTTTATAACATGCTTCATAACCAGTGACCTTCTCTCCTGTGGTCTGTCTCAGATCAACACAAACCTCCAGCACAGTCAGCAGCATTGTGCCAGTCAGGGAAAACAGACTAAATTTGCTTTGATTGTCTCACATGACAGTGAAATAATATGATCCAAATAAATATTGCACTCTTGATTAATATTAGTTGTTGTTATTTTGTTATACGGTGTTTTAAGATTTTGCTCAGCATGCCCCCACCCCTCCAGGTCAAGTTCAGGGACACAGCCCTGATAAAAACAAACTGCAAACTACATTAAAACCAGAGGCGAACAATACCGACAATTCTGTTTGTTTATTCAGATAAAAGATATTTCCATGATTAGATTTACCTTTGGTAATTTTTCACTGTGTTACAGGAGGGTTTTAATTATCTGATATTCATATTCATTTTCATGCCTGTGTTTTAAACAGGAGAACACGACCCCACCATAAAGACATCAGTGAAGTGGATGAGCAAAGTGAACCAGGCACACTCTCAAGGAGGTCTAGAACTAAAAGACAATGAGATTTTGATTCCTCGGAATGGCCTCTACTTTGTTTACAGCCAGGCGTCGTTCAGAGTAAGCTGCAGTAGCAATGCTGATGACCTTACTTCCAATCACATGATCCACCTGAGTCACACAGTGAAACGCTGGTCCAGATCCTTTGGCCCGAATGATGAGAGGTCCTATCGGACCCTCTTGCATTCAGTTCGTACTGTGTGCCAGGGTACAGCCAGCAAGGATCCAGACTCGGCTGAAAGCTCCTTCTCTGCAGTATATATGGGAGCAGTATTCGATTTAAAGAGTGGAGACAGACTAAAGACGGTTATGGAAGAAAAGATGCTTGAGAAACTTGAGGAAGAGGAAGGGAAGACTTATTTTGGTGTCTTTGCTTTGTAAAGAGAGCTTGAAATTATGACAGGAACATACATGTAGTGGCAGAGTAGAACTGATTCTGTTGCATAGAACCAAAAGAAACTATTTACAGTCAACTAGTGAGTGACAAAAAGGCCTATTAGAGAACTAATATCCATTTTGATCTGTAATCCAGGATACATAACTATTTACTAAGATATGTCATTATGTATCACTTGTGTGTTTTTGCTGCTAACTAATTGTTTCACTACAGCCTGGCAAAGATGTGTAAACATATGTATTTATTATTCTAATTATTTTATTTATTTAAATATTTATTCTGTTTTCTCTTATTTTTGTAAGTTGGTGTATATTTCTATTGACTAAGTCCTGTTATATAGTGTGGTGTTTGTGGTGCAAAACACTTGAATCCAGTTTTTGCAGAGATTACAAATGGATGATTAGACTTCAGAGTAGTAGTCTTGTTCTTGTTCTCACCTGTTCATCGGTTGATCAACCAGTCAGGATGAGGGTTTTATACTTTTTAATACAGAATGATTTCTGCAGAGGCTGCTCTATTCCCAATGTAACCACTGAGCTGCCAGAAGAAAATGCAGTTAACAAATATATATAACTAAAATAGACATATAACAATACACATCTAACTTTAAAAGCTGTGTGATCAGTCGTCTTATGCAGACAATATCAAACTGAAAATGGTCAAAACATGTTATTCAACAAACAAACAATGTCATGATTCTCATGCTTGGTTCTGTATATTTCTGTTCTTTTGCCTTCAAAATGTGTTTGATAGCGTTTGACAACAACAATTAAAACTTCTCAATGTTTGATAGTGTTCAGCAAAAATATTTTTAAATTAGGCTACATGGCTACTGCATTGATATGCAGTAGCCATATTAATGCTAGCTCATTAATATATCAATGAGCTACTCTAAGCTGTAGTTGACAATATTTTGTTTGCCGCTGATAATTTATGAAAATAAAACAAACAATATTTTGACATCAACTTATAAGTTGTATAAAAATTTTCTAATTAAAATTGTTTGAAGACACAGACAAAGACACTTGGTATAAATTAAATTTGTATCCATTGTAATTACACCCAAGAGAGATTAATTTAATCAATTACATTAATTGTGTGTAGGGCTACACCAATTGCAGTTTTCTTGCTAAACCCAGTTACCGATCTTTAAAAGGCCTAACCTGCCAATTTTGATTTTGGCCGATAATTTTTTTTTTTACTGAAATGTCGCTAAATGTAAATGTAAAGTGGCTGAGATTGCAAGAGTGGGGTGAATATCGTTAACTGTAAAGGTTCAGACATGACCTGGTGGGCCGGTCTGTCAGTCAAACCTCTCACTGCAGAGCAGAAGAGGACAGAGGCTGATTTTTAAACCTTTGCTGATGAAGATAAGATTCGTGGATAAGATGGGCTTCACATGTATCAGTCGATCACAATCCCCCATATATATATATGTAACTATCACTTTTAGAGATGCAGCAAGTTTATAGTAGGTGTGTGAATGATCTAATAATGACTGACTGTTGACAGCAGCAATCCACATCATTAACAGAACTAGAGGGCCCCAAAACCAAATTTTGCTTAGGAGCCATGGAGGCCTGAGCTGGCCCTGAACTGATGTTACTAGTCTTTTTAAGTGGAATGAAAACTGACCGTGAAGAATTTGTTTAAAACAGTATTAAGCTATACTTGAATAGCTTAATACTGTACTAGAATAAATAAATAAAATAAAATAAAAATCAGGTTTTAGACAGATTAGCTGTGTGTAGAGCAACAACAGCCTTTGTGTGGAAACTGTTTTCTAGTCTTTTTGCCCTTGACTTTATTGCTCTGAAAATGCCTCCATGAGGGAAAGAATCTGAAGAGGTGGTGGCCAGGGTGTGAGGGGTCCTTGACGATGCTGCGGGGTTTCTGTAGGCAGTGAGTCCTCTAGATCTCCTGGATCTCCACTTGGGATGGAAGAGGGCAGCTGCTTCTTCTCTGCTGCGGTACAGCTGGAGAACCACAGTGAGACGCCATGGTTCGACACAGACTCCACAGAGCATCAATAGAAAGACACCAAGAGCTCAGTTGCCAGGTTGTTCTCCCTGAGAATCCTCAGGAAGTTCGGTCTCTGCTGTGCCTTCTTCAGGACTGAAGTGGAGTTATCATTTCAGGTCTTCACTGATGTAGGTACCCGGGAACCTGAAATTTGGCACCATCTCCACCCTGTCCTTATTTAGAGTGATGGGCCGAATTTCTGGTTTACACTCTTAAAGTCGACAGTCAGTTCTTTCAATTTGGAGGTGTTCAAACGGAGGTTGAAGGTGAACAGTAGTTCCACCTCCCCTCTGTATGTGGTCTCATCTCCCTCCAGAGATGAGCCCCACCACTCAGCAAACTGCAGCAAACTGTGTGATGGTGTTGTTCGGGTGGGTGGTGCTACAGCCATGGGTGTACAGGGTGTAGAGTAGGGGGCTTAGCACGCAGCCTTGTGGAAAGTCGGTGCTGGTGCTCAATGCTGAGGACAGCTAGGATCCTACTCTCACCTTCTGGGAGCGGTCTGCCAGAAAGTCTGTGATCCAGCAGCAGGTGTTGCAGGGGAGATCCAGGTCCCCCAGTTTCCTCACCAGTCTCCTCTGAATGATGATGTTAAAAGTTAAGCTGAAGTCCAGGCAGAGCAGCCTCACCTGGTTCCTTTGCTGTTCCACATGTGTCAACACTCAGAAAAATTTGACCAATGGTTACTCAAAAAAATTGAGGCAACAAAGTGACACGTAATATAATTGAGTAGATTTTATGTTCTACAATAATGAGTAAAAAGTATTGAATATTTTAACTTAACTTAAAAAAATCAAGTACATCTTAATAAAAGCAACAGCTGAAATGTGTTGGATTTAGTAATATCAAGCCAAATGATAAGTTATATTGACAAAAAATATTCAGTAAATCCAACTCAATTTTACAAGGAAAAATTATTTCTATTTACGAAGTTTCTGAGAAAAAATTATTTAGATTTACGAAATATCTGTGAGAAATTGATTCATATTTACTGATAATCTAGGTGAAATTAATTTATATTTATTAATTAAGTGGCTGAAATTGATTTAGATTTACTAAAAGATCAGCATAAAAATTATTTGGATTAAGTAAATAATATAAATGATATCAACTCATATTTTAGCACATTATTGCTTAATTCAACACATTAACACTGTTGTTCTTAGTCATCTGTAGCTAAAATAATTGATAAATTCTAAGTTGTTATTTGTGTCATAGGACTTTAAATCTATTCAATAATATTGAGCGTCACTTTGTTGCCATAATTTTTTGTGTCTAATTTACACAATATCCTGACCAAACTTGAGTGGCATCAAAAAAGGAATTGATTGATGCCTGGTTTCAAAATTAGTGAACTGGACTTATTATTTTGTGTCCATTGTTGGACACAACACGGTTCGATCGAACCGTTATACCCAGGATTTCTGTCGGCTAATGTGTCTCTCAGGTTTTGATAATGGGCCGACAATCTGCGACATCAGATGGTGCAGCGTGCGCTGGGCATTACACTAAGGAAATAAGGAAGGGAGGGTCAGTGGAGAGCACTGGAGTTGAGCCTTTTTTCATTCAGTGTCATCAACAGTAAGAGAAAAAGGCAGGAAGAAACGATATAAACGATAATTGAAATGAGGTCGATAGTTTTAATTTATTGTGCGATTAATTGACTTATCGTTTATCGCGACAGGCCTACATGTGACAGACCTGAACAGATCCAAAGCCATATAACAGGCCGCACATATGAGAACAAGGGGTCAGAAAGGGTAGTTAACTGTAATGTACTGCAAGAAAAAAAACACATGCAGAAATCCACTGAACTGAAAATTACCCAAATTTTAACTAACTTCACAGAGCATTTCACAAAGTTTTGCGTGTTGGTTTTGACAGTGACTTGTCTATTCCCTTTTGTTTAGCAAGGGTCCGTTTTCTTAAGCCAGTAGTTTATTCCTGAGGCTGTTCACTTTTGTGGAGAGCTTTGAACTATCCAGGCCGAGGAGAAGTTTCTGAAACACTTCAAACGTGTATCTGAGCTCCTTTGGATAGGCAAGACTCATAGCATACACCAACCCAACGAGCAGGGAGCAAGCCCTTGGAAAGTTACCCAGAGCAGTTAGAATTTTCACGCCGTCCACCACGATACCGATGTCTGGATCCTCTGACGTGTTAGCTTTGATGTTGTAGATCTTCAGGCTTTGAACAGCAAGGTCCTGTGACACACTGTCTTTATCAGCATCCTGTAATAGCAAGAACATTGTGCATATTAGACAGTACAGCCAAAGGAGAAGGTTCCATTTCCCAAATTGCTTACAACTGTTTGGACAAGAAAATCTGGAGTTTGTCAGCCGTTTCTTGTAATGCACTCTATTTATGTCAGTGTTTTAGACAAATATGAGATAACACACACACAAAAAAAACACACAGAATTAAAAAATGAAAAAAGACAAATATAAATCAATCATAATAATATATTATATTACAATATAATCAATTATACAATGATGAGCTGAACAGTTACAAATATTTCTGAATGAAGTTTTTGAAATTAAATCAATCCATCACACTATTATTTCTTCCTGGCACTGTCTTGATTAATATCTTATTCTGCATTGCCTCAGTCTTTCTGTAAAAATGTCTTTGTATTCACAAAGCAGCGTCTTGGCCATAATTTCTTAGCTCGCTTTTAGGGACAAATTGCAAAGACTTAAAAAAAATCAAGCATTCTTAGGAAAAAAAAATTACATAAATTACTGTCAAGTTTTAAATTATGCCAGTTGATGAAATGAAATTGAGATAGCATTCTGCACTAGCACTTAAAAATTCCTTAGTGGAAAATAAAAATTTAAACACTCTTAACAGAGGACAATGATATAGCTTGCAAAGAACTACTGGGAGAAGTACAATCATGACTATTTTGTGATTTGACTTTCCCTAACCCTAAAATTTGGTTAATTCAGCTCAGTGAGATTCAAAACTGCCCAAAGTCTTTTTTATTATGTATAGTTTGCTCTAATTTATTTAGTAAATATCACTTAACCCTGATCACACTTTTTCCAGTGTAGTGGGATCCTCCAAAGATCAGTTGGTTCTGTATGCAACTGGTAGGGGTTGAGTTTGGGTAGCAAACAAGAAGTGATGTGACTGGCCCAGTTTATCAAAACACTTCATGATGATGGAGGTTAGAGCCACTGGCTGGTGGTCATTGCCAAATCAGTCCGCCTTGTGCCGGGAGCACACACCGCAGCCAGAGAGGTGGATCCAATCATTTTCAAGGCGCTTCTGATTGATTTCTCAGTAAAACAACTCACATAATCATATCAACAGCTGTTGTTAAAAAAAAATAAAAATCCTCTAAAATAAATAAATCTGATCTTGTGTGGGATTCTTCTTACAGGGCTTTGTGTTTTTTTGAATTGCCAAGAGTGTCAGCCTTTTTCCAACTTTTGTCATTTACAAATAATAACTTGACTTAGCCTTACAAATAATAACGGCTTTGGTGTAAAGAAAAATAACGGTTACAGTCAATACAAATAATACTGCCCCAGGTGGCCGATGAATGGCATAGACAATCAGACTAGATGAAATATAGGATGTAAAATTAGATTACCTTTAACAGAAACTGAATTTAATGCTTTCAAGAGTGTCAAGCTTTATTATTAATTATTAATTTCTGTGTGTGCCTGAGGTGGCTTCCTCAGCCATTTGTCGGAAGCCCAACAGATGAAGTGACTATGGGAAGGACAGAACCAAAGTTCTCTCCTTCCCATAAGGAAGTTAGATGCATCATCTAAGATGTTGAAGGAATGGCTACAGCATATTATTCAGAAAAAATGATCATTTTGACTCCTCAAAGCAAAGACTGCTACTCTGATAGAACGTCAAAGCATTTTCTTTGCATTTCACTGTAAAGTACATCTGTCCACACTGCAAAACTGCAAAATCTTACCAAACATTTTTGGTCTACTTTCTACTGGATACCTTCGTACATGTGAAATGAGACAAGCTAACTTAAAGGTAACTTATTTAGCAACATGCAGAGCAGGAGTGTCAAACTCAATTTTGTTTTGGTCCAAATCAACATCTTGACAGAATCTATTGCTAAAACTCATTAACAAAATGTTAAAGCATATAAATAAATTCTTAAAATTCAATGATATTGAACATAGGAAGTTAGATGTATCATCCATTATTGTAATAAATTAAATTTGTTTCATTCAAAAGAGGGGGAACAGATTATTTCAGACAGCTGAAATAGGTAGAGCAAATGTTTACAAATTATCAATGGTAGTTGTGTGTGATCTTATGATTGAGCCACATGTGTTTCAAGATGATTGGTTAATCCCTGTTTTATAACAAACATTACAGGATATGAGCTGAAATATTGTGTTCCTCTTTGATGTTTCTTAAGGCATTTCTATTTTCTTTGAAGAGAGGAGTTATGTTCTCATACATCTCAGAATCAGAGAGATATTTTAAGGCAAATGCTAGAACTTATTTTAGACCAATAAACAACATTAACGGGACAAACAGCAAACAGAACTATCTTTCATCCAGTAATCTGCAATACTTTAGAATGACATGCTGCAAAGGGATTTTCCAGAAAGTCTACACTCACTTTTCAGAAAGTCTATTTTGAGTCCTGCCATCAGCTGCCTTCCATCCTTTATATCAGCAATTTAAAAATGTAAATACAAGTGATGTGTTGGAAAACGGTGTTTAGTGACTAACTTTTATTTGACAGACTAAAGTGAACATCATGACAAGTTGTTAAAAGACTGATTCTCTCGGTGATAAAAAAAATAAAAAAACACGAAACAGTGTCAGAACCACCTACAGACCAGAACATGTTTTAGTTTTTTAACAACTGCTTTCGATTAAACTGAAAGTTACAATTTTGATTTGATTATGTGGTTCGACAACTCGATCAGAGGGGC